ATCTTATAAAATATGATTATTACAAAAAACATAATCAATTAAAATCATTTAACTTCCGTTTCATTAGTAATTGTTGTTTCGAAAATATTTTAAGTTTTATTAAAAACAAAAATTATAATGAAATTAAACTTTCATTAAACGAACTACGTAAATTAATACAAGAGGAATTACACGATTTGAATAATAATAATAATAATTATATGGAGCTAGACTGATTATTTTTTAAACTTTGAAAATTTAAATCGAATATAATACTTACGAAGTATTATATATTTATATATTATAGTACCTATACAGTGTGGTATAATAATAATAATAATAATAATAATATATATATATCAACGTTGGACTGATTATTTTTTAACATCCGGTATTGAATACCTTATCATAATATATATGTATAGTTTATATTATGATGTTTTTTATCGAATTATTTAAATAGTGTTTAAATAATCATTATACATGCCCAAGTGTTGTAGCTCAGTCGGTAACGCGTTTGATTTAAAATGTGTTCTTGGTCGGATTGAAACTAGTGGGGGAATGTGTAGCGCTGCATATTCACCTACTAATTTCGTCAGGCTTTGAAGATGTTTACGGTAGATTGTATAGGTGGGTGCACACATCTATGCAATCTACTGAAAAACTGTTGTTGTCCTGCTGGATAAAGCGCTTGGGTAACTTCACTGCCCACGATAGCTTTGCAGATATCTGTAAAAGAGTTCCGGCCTCCTTTTTTCCTAACGGGTATCTGCAAAGCTGGGAATGATTTTGTAGATTTTTTGCATTTTTTTCCATATTTCTATTAAAAATATTAAAAAATAACGCGATCGTATATGTCCTATATTTCATTTAATATTTGATATTATCAAGTCGGAACAACACAGATATGTTTTATATACTTATCTACACTACATATTAAAAGTTTACCCCCCGCTTCATATTTTTCATTTAAGTATAACTCCGTTGCTATTTATGTTAGAATCTTCATTTTTACATTAAACATTTTTGATTTTAATTCTTTATAAGTCCCCCTCATAGTATCATAGTGTAAAATCGTTTTTAAAGATTTTTGGATTTTAATAACGCGTTAAATATTGAACATTAATTATATTATTATTATTACATTCTAAAAATTAGTCTTCATACGAAGACAACATATTTTAATATTTCCTAAATCTTGAACAACAAAAATATCATGGAGACATTCGGCCATAATACCAGTTGTATTTATTAAATCATTAGCTATTTTACAAATTTCAAGCCATGTTGGCGATTCTAGTACTTTAGAAGCATAAGGTTTTCCTAGTTTTCGTTTTCCATTTATAGAAATATTGTTTTCAACAATTAAAATATTTCCTTCAATTGGAATTTTATGTAGATTATATTTAATATTCTCAGAATTTTCATAGTATTCAAAAGCACAAAATTTCACATAAAATTTTTTTTTTTTATAATTTTTTTTATTTCATTTTGCATTTCTTTTTCTTGTACCTTATTAAAATTATTTATAGTTTCCATTCTTTTATTATAAATTTCAATTCCTTTAACTCAGGTATTCAATTTCTTTTTATACATTTTTTGCATTTCGATTTTTATTTTTAATAGAACAATTCTATTAAAAAATATTTTAATTATTATTACATTTCGATTTTAATTATTAATATCATAAGTATTATGAAAAATATTTTGGGGTGAAAATGTATTTAATAAGTTTTGCGAAAAATGTTTTTTATTATTATTGCATTTCGATTTTTATTTTTAATAATTAAGTTTTGCGGAAAATATTTTTATTATTATTGCATTTCGATTTTTATTTTTAATAATTAAGTTTTGCGGAAAATATTTTTATTATTATTGCATTTCATAAGTTTTGCGAAAAATTTTTTTATTATTATTGCATTTCAATTTTCTGATCTTTTTGCACATTGTTTTCTTTGTGATCTTTTACTGATATATTATTATTAAAGGTGCTGCGCCAGGACTGGTATATATACTCTACTTCTATGTATAAACATTATATCTAGTTCGGCCCCAACGCTCAGGATGAATGCACGTACGCCGCGTTGTCCGTTGTTTCGCTCCGTTATCGCTGTGCGCCCTCGCTAATTATGTTTATTATTTTTGTCATCATTAATTATCATCTTTTACTAAAATATTTATAGTATTAGATTATTATGAATAAAGGCACCCGTAATGCGGGCCCCGTTCCGTCACGCACACCCAATCCGTCTAAGAGATATTTGTCTAATTCGTCGCTTTCGCCGAATCTAGCCGACAAAAAATCGAAAGTTTTTACTTCACCAAATCGTTTCGCCGTACTTGCCACAAACGACTCCACCGACAAATCAGCAAGGCATTTTCAAATTTCCAAGGCATCGCTCGTGATACAATTTAAAAAATATTTATAATTATTTAATTATTTTGACTTGAAAAGTTACAATTTTATAAGTTTTGTAATCGTTTAAAAAATAATATTGAGAATAAAAATTTAAAATTTATTCCGACCGATGCATCAAGCAAGTATTGAAAAATCTAAATCCGTTTTCAAAACTTATGTCAGATGACGCAGTATGGTTAAATTTAGAATGTGTTATTTTCAATCAAAAACGGGCTGGTGTAGAGGCCCCTTAAAACAAAAATATTGTTTAATGCATATAACGGGTTGAGCGCCATGTGAATTTTTATAGTTTTTCCAATGTTACCGCGTGACAAAAATGTCAAATATTGGTGAATTTCCGTATACATTGCCATGATAAGCACATTTGCAGGGTCTCACTAATATTATAGTTTTATTAAATGATACCCAATATTAGTTCTCATTTATCGGTTTTTTATATCATTAAATTTATGATTTTCATATTATGCATTATATTTTAATACTAATAGCTCATGCCTTATTATATTATTATTTCTAAGACATATATAATTATATAATCACAAAACATCAGAAATATATTTAACTTTATATACCATGGCAATAGAAAATTATAAAACCATTGTAGGCAGTCATCAAACTCTAGTTGAGATCCAAAACTGAATGTCATTTGGCCCTCTACTAATTTAAAATTTAAAATAGATAGGTATAGGTACATTAATGACATTAATTACATTTCAACAAAATAATTTGATTTTAAAATTGTTATAAATAAATATATAAAAAAAATTTAACACAAATTACAGTAATTATTACAACTTTTTCTTTAAACCGCAGTAGTTGTATTCTATAATTTAAAACGGTGAGTTCCTTTGCCTACCTATATAATATAAACGTTCAATATTTAACAACTACACCGCCGACCGCGCGTTAAAGTCAAGACTCCGCGTTCTGTCAATATGTACTTATCCGACACTCGCGAAATCGCAAAAGTTTAAAATATTATTTTATTATATCGTGCATATATATATAATATGACGTTCAACGTTATTTATGTCTGCCAATACACGTGTAACGGGTATGAATATTATAATGTCGAACGTATATGTATTTTAAGCGTCCAATCGCGGGCGTACCTATATAATATGTATTTATTTACACGTTTGTTTGCACAAGGGATGTGTATAAAAACCCCACTACCTACCTACTATGCAGTGTTGTAAAGTATTTGAGTAAAAGTATTTGAGTAAAAGTATTCAAATACTTTTTTCCGTATTGAATACTTTTTCAAATACTTTTATTTTTGAAGTATTTGAACGGTATTTTAAATACATTTTTTTACTATTGAATACTATTTTATTGAATACTTTTTTTATTCCTTCAACTTTTTATTCATTGTCAAATAATAATAATGTCTTAATAATATTATAATATATATTTATCATTTATGAACAATTCTATATTGGTTTTAGTTTTCGTCTATTAATAGCTAATTAATATTAGTTACTCTGAGAAACCGTCTGTTTATCGTCGACACTAGACGACGATCGGAACGGTACGTTTCGGTACCTACTACCTACCAATATAGTATATTATCATAGCGAAATATAATACGAACATTAGGTAGGTAAGGTATGTCGTATACGTACGTATTTTTTTGTTTTGTATTTGAAAATTATTTCAAATACTTCTAAAAAGTATTTGAGTAATACTCAAATACTTTACAATAGATAGTATTTGGGTGGTATTTTAAATACTTTATTTTATAAGTATTTGAGTAATTACTCAAATACTTTTTAAAAGTATTTTTTACAACACTGCTACTATGTTAATCCTAATAAACAATAAAAAGGAATCAATTATTGAGTACTACCTACCTACATCAAATTACATTTTCATATATTTAATTTCCTTTGATTCTTCTATAGGTAGGTACTTATTTGACTTATTTGGAATTATTATTATTTTAGTAAAAATGTGTATGCATTAAACAATTAACATTTAGCATTTAACAATAATTGTTATTTGTATAGTGCTCCGCCATAAGGTGGCCGTCAAGGCGAACGGGACCTATACCCCAGGCCACTTGAAAAATCTAAGTTTTCTTTAAATACAACAATTTACATATTATTATAGTTCAAAAATATATTTATTGGACAATATTATATTATTAATTATTAATTAAATTAAATTAATGTACAATTATACAAAATACTTGTACAGTTGTACAATTATATAATATACACTATGGTAATAAAAGTGAATACCTGGCCTTCGCACAGACATGACTTCGTGGCCAAGTGTCTGCCTGAGGCCGAACGGCAGCGGGCCACCGGGCCAAAGGATACCATAGGCGCCATTTTGTCGCAGGGCCCAAAATTTATGATGGACAAAGATACGGAGACCAGTTCAAGCTACCAGCAAAGGGAACCACCCGTCTCGTTCCGTTCCGTCGTTCTCGAAAAACGAAAATGGAAACGATGATAAGTCCGCCGTGTTCGAGGCTGGCCCATTGCGAGATGACAACGAATGGCAATATTACAATTTGTGGAGATCACAGCATGGCTTCTGGTAGATAATACTGTAGATAATATGGTCTTATAATAATAAATTCTTTGCATATATTATGAGTTATGACCATTCTCAGCAAAAAGAACATTTATGCCGGGTTGCATTTCAGGGAACACTATCCCATATTTGTATACACAAACGTATAAAGGCAATCCCTGAGGCCGAACGGCAGCGGGCCACCGGGCCAAAGGATACCATAGGCACCATTCTGTCACAGGGCCCAACATTTATGATGGATAAAGGTAAGGAGACCAGTTCAAGCTACCAGCAAAGCGGCCCTTTGGTGTCTTCGGTGTCGTTGGTCGATTACTTATGATATTGGTACTATTGAATCCAGCGACGATCATAAGATGGAAACGAATCGTCGATGATTGGATTCACCAGTACACAACTGCAGTTCGGTGTCTGTTTACGGTATATAGTATTAAATTTAAATAAATTACAACACTTTTATACAATGATTAATAATAGCGAGACATAGGTTATGTTTTTATCTGGAACCAATTCCGTGCGACGAGTTTAAAATGTTCGCCTTTTTGACTTACCCACCTACGACTAGGGAAAATAATATTATAATAATTTTGTGTTTAAGGGAACCGTCGCGGATATTATTGAAACAGAAAATTGTTCTTTACCACCGCCGATCGTTGAAAATCCGGCGGTAAATGTTAGATCTCTGTTTTATTTTTATACTACAAGTTTATTGTCCAGAATTAGTTTTAAGCTTAAGTTTTCTTAGTCTCTAATCTTAGTACTATAGACATCAAAAACACTCGCTGTACGTACCTACCATTGCCGTCTACCAATAATTATAATGGTCGAAATTCAATAAGTATGTTTTTGATTACCTATGTTTGTATTTTGATATGCTCTTATCACTAACCCGTTGTCCGAAACGTTCGGCTGTTATTATTAGTTTTTAGACTTATTACCACGACAAAATAGATAGCTATGTCAGCAACTTTTAGGTACATTAATTATAACTAAAGTTTGATAATTATTTGTATTGTTTAAGCCCCGGCAAGGACGCATTTAAACATTATCGTATATTATTATTAAGAGTTTATTTTTGTGTTTGAGGTAAACGAATTTAAACATTATTGTATTGTAACTTAAAAATTGAAAATTTAATTTAACTTTCAAATCAAAGATTTAAATAGAAAATTTTTTATGAACTTATAACTTAAAATAATTTGCACATTTTCGTGATTTTTACGTGTTTTGTCAAATTTGAACTTTAAATTGGATTTAAAAATGGATTTGTATATAAGAGTCTTGTATTAAATTTTCAACAAATACAATTATATTGATATTCTTAGAAAAAAAACTTAATAAATAGGAAAATAAAAATGTCTTAAACCCTAAACAGTTCAAAACAAGGAGAAATATTTTGAAATTTTTATCGTGTAAAGAATATTATGCGAATTGAAAATCGAATGTATCTACGGTCATTTGTTTTGGAGTTACACCAAAAACCAACATTTTGACCTTCCCAATGCACCAACTAGGTTCACTTTCCCTCGAACAAAATACTGAAGTCAGAAAAATCGGTTCCGGGACATTTGCGGTCAATTTATTTTTATCTACCTGACTATAAGATTTGGGTGCTATATATAATATTTTATATACTATTTACTTAATTTATGTTAAGAGGTATAATATTATAATACTTTTTTACTATAATCGATATAGTTATATACTTGTCAAATATATTATATTTAAACTTCCCTTCACACTTTTTTTAAGCATTTTTCTAAATCATTATCTAATTCATAGACTACTTATGTTTTTCTAATTCTTTCGTCTAATTTTATGTACATTTTTTTTCTTCTTTTTCCTTCCATAAAGGTAAAACATGGGCAAGCGCTAAAATATAGTATAAGTATACCTACCTACCTAAAATCCTATAGAAATGTGCTCATATTCCACTATTTATTACCAAACAAGTTTATTGTTATAAATAATAATATATTATACAATATAATAAGTATAAGCCCGGATAAAGGGAGGGGGGCAAGGTGGCCACGGTATGTTAGGCGCAGAAATTGTTGAGCGGTGTAGTGGTTAGATTTGATTCCAAATTGGAAATGCGGGATAGCATCTATTGCATTTAGGTAATTGGTGAGCCTCAAGTGAATAACCTAACTGAGGATAGAAGGCTTATAGGTCTGTAGTTGCTCGGGTTAGAGTTATCTTTGCCTAGTTTTTTGAACAAAATTATTGTGGCTGATTTCCATTCGGTAGGAAAGTAACCAATTTTTATTAGGGAATTGAATAATATGGATAAATATAAACCTACATGATATTATGTATTATATTTTGTTTACCTCCAAGACTTCGTCCTTATTTTTCAGTCCACATCCATCAGTAGTTGCAGGGATATTTCGCCTTGATAATAGGAACGACATTCCTGCCATACCGACGCAAGTGAACGAAATTCCGACCAAAATTTCTTTCGAGAAATATTACATTTTGCAGTTCAAAAAACTATTGAGCACTCTGTTTATTCGCAAACCGTAGTGATGTAAATAAATATTATGATCATGTTATATTTTGATATTTAAACAATTAAACCAGATAATATATTATTATAACAAACAATACTATCGTATAATTTATAAAGCCTTAGTTTTTATCGAACTGCATTCACAAATTATCGTTATGGAAATCTGAATATGCATAAATTACGTCCATTCAGTAGAGGACTGGCAATGGATGACGGGATGCGATCGTATCCCGGGCCCCAACTGAGCCAGGCCCCATGCCCCATATAGGTACATTTGGAAAAATAATTTAAATAAACTGCTTAAAACTTTCTAAACTTTCTAATCGTCGTACTTGTCGTTGACAAACATCTACCAGGTATTATTATCATTAAATAAATGATAGAAATTTAATATTGTTCACTACGCCATGTCCATATAGCTGTTGTTTGATTTTTTTATTTTGTTATATTATATTATAATATTTTTAAAAACTGTTGTTACTTGAACAAACTAATTTACAGTGACCCACTTGTAACCAACTGTACAGCAGAGCAACTTTTTTATTTTATGAATATCAATAAAAATTTATTTGTTGAGTAAAAGTACTTGAAAATTTAATACAAGGCTCCTACTGCATTGTTTCAAAAACAGATGAAAAATATTAAAAATCGTTAGTCACAGTTATTTTTTTAAGCATTTAAAGTTCAAAAAATGACAAAATATGGAAAAATCACGAAAATTTGCAAATTATTTCGAGTTAGAAATTCATAAAAATTATTCTTTTTAAATCTAAGGTATTAAAATGTAATACAAGATTCCTTATAAGATTTCCTACATTTATCAAAAAAAAATTCTATAAGAAAGTAAAATTAAATTTTTATGAGCGTTTGAAATTAAAATTTTTACAACATTGGATATTCACTCGATTTCTCATGTGGCGATTTCCTTATTTTGTTGTAATTCAAAAACAAATTACTGTAGATACATGATAATTTCACTAAATGTTTATATTAGCATTTCCTATACACCATACAATTTTGAAAATATTTTGACTCTTTTTGAGCTGTTTATGGACATTTACAGCTTTCAATTTTTTTAGTTTTTTTTTCTATAAATATCAATAAAGTTTTATCTGTTGGGCCAAAAAGTGTAAAAATGTAATACAAGGCTCCTGATATATTGTTACAATAGCAGTTGAAAAATATTAAAAATACATAGGCACAGTTTTTTTTTATAAGCATTTAAAGATCAAATTTTGACAAAATTTATCAAAATCTCGAAAATTATCAATCATTGTAATTAATAAATTATAAAATGTTCAGTTTTTATAGCTAAGGGTTACAAATTCAACACAAAGGTTCTCATAAATAGTTCATACTATAACCAAAAAATCTAAAAAATATATGAACACACTTATTTTTTACAGACATTTTAAATTCAAATTTGGACGAAATTACATATTAAAAAACCTAGAATAACTATTTTAGTTTTTTTGTTGTGATTGAATAATATTATTCGTGGGTACTTGAAACTTCTAAAGTGTACTATTATATATCTATGATAGTATCACGGTTTTTGTTGATGTATAACGCGTTATAAGTATCTAATGGATATTGTGATATGATTAATTTGGAATTTATTTTAGGTACCTATACGTCTTAACCACTTAACATTAACTGACTCACAAAAACAACTATAGAAGACGATATGAGACTCGCTCTTTCCACCATCAACCCTAGGATTTCCCAACTTTGTAAAAAACACCAGGGTCAAATTTCACATTAAATTTATATAAATCATTATTTTTTTTACCTTTTATTTTTTTTATTTGCTAATTTAAAGTTTATCTGTTTAAATTTAAAGTGTCAACGTTTAGCAGTAAAAACGATTCAATTTCAAACTCGAACATGAAAGTGAATCTAGTTGGTACTTAATAGGGATGTAAGAAGTAAAAAATTCACTGTAGGTTTACTTTTCAAAATAATTGGGCACACACAAATAACTTTTGACGAAATGGATTTCCTTAATATATTGTTGTAATTCAAACACGAATAACTGTAAGTATTCGAATGTTTGTACTAACTTTTTATATACATATTAATATTATTTTAAAAATATTTCAAGTCTTTTTGAGCCATTTATAGCAGGGCTAGAAATCAATTTTAAATATTGATAAAAATTGTTAAAAATAATCTAACCAATCTAAAGTGATATTAAAATCAAATATCTCTTTTAACGAAATTCAAATTTCAAAATTTATGTTTAAATAGAAATAAAAATTTAAACTGATAATTTAAACCAAAATAAAAAAAAAATATTTTATAATTTTTATAATGGAGAAATCAATTTATAATTAAAAAAAAATGTAATTTAAAATTCAACAGTGGCTGATATAGGACTATAATATTATGTTGTTCATATGTTAATAATAATAAATAACTAATAATTAGTTTTCTTTTGTTTTTACCAACCTACTCGAACGACGACAGGTTTCTCGTATAGTTAGACCTCAAAGTTAAAATACTAAACATTTAAGATGGATATTATTTAAAACTGAAAAAAAAGAAAATATAATGTTTCCGAATGATGTGCAGATTTTACAGTGTTCGATTTACCATCTAAAGTGCAGTGTGGACAAATTGTGTATAAACTTTTATATAAGTATATTTATTATTTGTAAATCGTACTAAACTTTTAACATTTTTTTTTTATTTCCCTCCCCCTAGCACACCACGTTTGACACATAGGGAAAACCAACATATCGCTGTGACGATTTTTTGCTGGTCTGCAGCTCTAAAACGACTCTCTCACATTCGTGAACGGGCATAAT